CAGAGCAAGATCGAGGAGATAACCGTCTTCATGGGAAGGCATGGTATATTGGTAGCTGCGGTCCAAGAGGCGAAGTTGCACAGCAATTCAACATTGTTGAATTGTGCCGGGTACAACGTGCACCGTCGAGATCGCGAGCGAGATAATGGTGGTGGTCTAGCGTTCATCACGCATTACACCGTGCAGTATCGTCTCATCGAAGCAGACATCGACCGCAGGGATACCACCCAAGAATGTCAGGGCATTGCTATCCGGTCAGGCGATGTCGAGCTTGAAATTTTTAACGTGTGTATACCCCCTGTCACCTACTTCCCGGCAGGATATCACCCTGACATAGGTGCGCTCTTCAGAGATGAAAACCGTATGGTAGTAGGTGACTTTAATGCGCACCACGATCTTTAGCACTCAAGCCTGTCAAACGATCGTAGGAGAACTGACTTGNTCAGAGATGAAAACCGTATGGTAGTAGGTGACTTTAATGCGCACCACGATCTTTAGCACTCAAGCATGTCAAACGATCGTAAGAGAACTGACTTGGCTGAGCAGATAGACGATTCGAAATTCTGGACAATGAACGACGACGCACCCACCAGGATTATGGGCAGCTCGCCAGAAAACAATATTCAGCGCTGGTCTGTTAACAGCATATCATAGCGACCTATGCTGACTTTGGCATCAGACCATCTGCCCATAGTCATCTCGATCGAAAAACCAACCGACTTTGCTTCCGCAGAACACCGCAGAACACCGCACCTATATCAACTTTTCTAAAGCTGATTGGAAAGGCTTTGCGGAATTTACTGAAAGCACCTTCGCTGCTCTCCCCAAACCAACCGACGTCCACCTTAGTGAACGTAAGTTCCGCAGGGCTGTCAGCGCTGCTGCAGCTCGCTTCGTACCGGCAGGCTGTATTACGGACCCACGTTCAAATTTCCCTGCTGAAGCGGATGTTCTAGCCGATGAGCGTGATAACCTTCGTCAGGCCGATCAAGGAGATTTCCGTATCAGGGATTTCAACGCGGAGATTTGGCAACTAGTGAACGTACATAAGAGGAAGAAGTGGGAAGAGCACCTGAAGACCTGTAACTTCACCTCTGGTGTGAGTAAGCTTTGGTCAACCGTGAGATCACTGTCCAATCCAACGAAGCACGATGACAGAGTCGAAATTTCTTTCGATGACCATGCTTCGTCGGACCCGGTCGATGATACACAAATTCCGACGGTGAATAACCCCAAATTACTCGGAGTAACATTCGACAGCAGTTTCACACACACAGAAGTGGCCACCCGAACAGACAGCTGCTTGCAGAGGAGCCCTCGCCTAGGCACGTCAGGAGGCATCTATACGAACTGACGGCCGAAGTCCAGAGGTTCATCAAGCAGCCTCTGGACCCGTCAGCATACCGACTAGCCCTGAACGGCATTGAACGGCTGTGAATGCCGTTCTAGGCACACCACCACCGGACATAGACGAGACGGAGCTTCATCTGCCTCGGTAGACAAGAACCACAATAGCCCAACTTCGCTCTGGCTACTGCAGCAGGTTAAACTCATACCTGAGTAGACTGAATGCGGATGTGCCAAATGAGTGTCCGGCATGCGGAGAGACCCCTCATGACTCGAAACATCTCTTCGCATGCCCGGAAAACCCGACAACCCTAACGGCTTTGTCCCTGTGGACCAACCCTGTGGAGGCTGCACGCTTCCTAGGGCTGCCGTTAGTGGAACTTGACGACAACGACTGAGATATCAACCGATCTGGGCGGGGTTGTTGTAGCCCCTTCAACAACAACAACAACAACAGTACTCCTCGGAGGTAAAATCTCATCAGGGTTTATAATTAGAAAAAGCATGAATATTGCGCATTTGTAAACAAACACTTTTCTTATAATTTAAATAGATAATTCTTATTTATTTTCTAATATTCAGATATCCAGCTTGTAGCCCGAGGCAGGTGCATATGGGGCTCACTAAAATCTACTCATCATGTTGGAGCAGCTCCGGGTAATGGGCCGTTGAATGTACTGGCTGAACTTATGGAATGTTTCTAAGTCAATTTTAAAGTGTGATTTATATAGTTTTTGTTAAAGCATGAACCATATTCTTATAAAAGATATCAACAAATTTTTAGCTTGAAAACATTGTTAATATTAAAAAGGAAACATCATTCAACCATTTTTGACTGCCACTGCGTATGCGAGATCCGTTGACATGCGCTTACGTGCTTAAAAACTGAGCAACTTCATAGTGTGCGCTTACACACGTTTGTCAGTTGTCATTTCGATAAGTTGATGCAGCACCCATACACATTTTTATACATACATATTTATAAAGAAAATACATACCAAGCAGCAAAAATTCTCTACCAAAATATGTAGGTATATGTATTTACATATGTATACCCAAACGTGTAGTGTAATTAACTTCAATGCAAAAAACTGTGCGACTAATCTCTAAAGAGAGTATACCGAGATTACTCTCAATCGGGTAAAATTGGGCATTAATTAGTCCCAACTAGTCTCCTAAGGGTACTAATGGAGGTCAATTAGTCTCGACTCATCCCTTATGGGTATAATTGGAGATCAATTAGTCCCCAACTCATCTCTAACGGGTACTATTAACGATTTAAAGATATGTACGCACTTAGTCAATGAAATTTCATGTGCGGCGTTGGCACGCAGAGAGAGTATTCGCCTAACAAAACTGAGCACCCCGGTTCGAATCTCAGCTGGCGCAAATTTTTATTTTTATTTTTTAAAAGTGACTAGTCGCTTTTTATACCCGTTTGGGTATAAAGGTGAACAATTAGTCTCTTCATAGGACATGCTCGAACAAAAGCGATCAGTTCATTCCATATAAAGAGATCAAAAGTGGTATTAGTCGCAAGCTCTTTTGCGATTGCTCCCGGAGTCATCCCGGATTAGCCAAATTTTTTGCAGGGTTGAAGTTGGTTGCCAACGCAAGCAAATACTGTAACGCTGGTAAGCCGAAATTGCCAAAATTACAACAACCATCCCCTAAGTGACAACACCTTATTATTATATCACCATGGTGGAAAACCATGATACAATAAAATTATAGTTCAAAAAAGTAAAACCTCCCTATTATAATTGCCATTCGTACTGTCATCAGGTATGTAACTAGAGAATAGAAATCGCTGCATCTTTTAGGCGCATCAATATTACATAGTTACATCCCGAGCTAATAAAAGGAAGGTAAAAAAGAAGGTAGTTTCAATGAACAACTTTTGACGGATAATACAGTTGTTTGAAGTTTCAGAAATTGTGAGTATTCTCAACGGCCTTGCTACTTTGATAATATTAAAACAATAAATCGGAGTATTTTCTCTCCCACATTTATACCGATTTAATAATATTTCAAATCAAAAATCATTATCAGTGCTTGGTAATTTTTTTACTTACGTGGTTCGCACCTTTTTATTAAAAATATANTTTTGCGATTGCTCCCGGAGTCATCCCGGATTAGCCAAATTTTTTGCAGGGTTGAAGTTGGTTGCCAACGCAAGCAAATACTGTAACGCTGGTAAGCCGAAATTGCCAAAATTACAACAACCATCCCCTAAGTGACAACACCTTATTATTATATCACCATGGTGGAAAACCATGATACAATAAAATTATAGTTCAAAAAAGTAAAACCTCCCTATTATAATTGCCATTCGTACTGTCATCAGGTATGTAACTAGAGAATAGAAATCGCTGCATCTTTTAGGCGCATCAATATTACATAGTTACATCCCGAGCTAATAAAAGGAAGGTAAAAAAGAAGGTAGTTTCAATGAACAACTTTTGACGGATAATACAGTTGTTTGAAGTTTCAGAAATTGTGAGTATTCTCAACGGCCTTGCTACTTTGATAATATTAAAACAATAAATCGGAGTATTTTCTCTCCCACATTTATACCGATTTAATAATATTTCAAATCAAAAATCATTATCAGTGCTTGGTAATTTTTTTACTTACGTGGTTCGCACCTTTTTATTAAAAATATATAAAATATGTAATGTTAAGGAGACTTCATTGAAATTGTTCTTTTTATTTCATAATAAAAACGAGAGCATCATGTTGTTATTTTTTCATTTTCTTATACAAATGAAATCTTGCGATTTAAAAATCTAATTCTAAAGAATGCTCTTTCCAAATTCACTTCATTGAAATTGTTCTTTTTATTTTAAAATAAAAACTACGAGAGCATTATGTTGTTATTTTTTAATTATCTTATTTTGAATGCAATCATGCCATTTAAAAATCTAATTCTAAAGAATGCTTTTTTCAAATAAATCTTTTTATAATCGCCAATTCCATGTGAATAAATTGTTCTCATAACTTAACATGCAAAACAAAAACAAATTGGGAAAAATTATTTTTGTTTTGCTTTATAATTTTGGAAATATTTGTTCACATGAAATTCGTGATTCGTGATGAAATTCATGAAAATTTACTTTTAAATTTCTCATCAGATTTTGCAAAAAAATAGGCCTTGTGGTTAGCGTATCACCATTAACTTCAACAAATTTCGAATTTAAAATTTCCAATGTACGCAAAAAACTTGAATTCGGCTTGCGCAGACCGCCCTCCGATAAGCAATTAGCATAAGTATAACTTTGAGCACTTTCTTCATCCGTTCTGAAACCTAGTTTCGTCAACCCCATTTTTGAGATTATTGCTAATTTTCCACGCCAAAATCTGAAATGTGCTCTTCCACGCAAAAATCTGAAATGTGCTAGTCTTCCACGTAAATAGTGAAATGTGCTACTTTTCCACGCAAAAATCAGAAATGTGCTACTCTTCCACGCAAAAATCTGAAATGTGCTAGTCTTCCACGCAATTAGTGAAATGTGCTACTTTTCCACGCAAAAATTTTAAATGTGCTAGTCTTCGACGCGAATTGTGAAACGTGCTAGTCTTCCACGGTAATTTGAGATGTGCTACTCTTCGTTGGGAGCGTCGATTTCATCTCGGAAAAAAACCTTATATACTTATTTAAACTTTTTGTTTTGTACAAATGAGGTGCCGTTGAACCTACGAATAATTTTTTCCGATACATTGAATAAGCGTATATCTATAATACTTTCGAAAATCAGTAGTTTTGGTCTTGATACCTCCAACAGCAATATGTCCTTATGTGAAGTCTCTGAAACGCGCTGAATTCCTTTAATATCTTTTGTTGCATTAGACTTCAAGACAGAGGTAGGTTGAACAAATGTGATGAAGCTGGCGTGGTTAAATCGCGGTCCTCTTTTATAAACTACTGCAAATAAACTTAGTTAGAGCTAAATTGCTATAAGTCCAGAATACGTACATTTCTCTGTGAAGGAGAATTCTACGTAGTAAGGGTAAATAAATAAATAAATAATCCCTAAGCAGAAAGAAGTTCTGCCCACAAATACTTCCGCCCCTCTTTTCTGGCCACACAGAAAGGAGAATTTTAGGTATTTAGTAAGGGTTATAATCCCTAAGCGCGGCCAAAAAGGGGAATTCTAAGTAGTGTCCCTATAATCCCTAATAGGGCTTTCGCACGAGGCGATTTTTCAGGCAACTTTTGCGTTCAACTAGCTCACGGTTGCCTGAAAAAAATTTAATGGCTAAAAATATCAAGATATAAAAAATTTCTAAATATTCGCCATAAAAAGGCGTTTGCATTCTACTTTTGGTTGAACGGCCTTTCAACAAAGTTGGTCGCCAGCTAACATTTAGCCATTCCACTTTTTTTTCGTGCAACCCTGCGTGATTTGAATGCAAAAGTTTAACGCAAAATCGCCTGGCGCGAACGGCCTTTAAGCGCAGACGAAGGCCGCCTACGCACAAAATACTTGCGATTGTGCACATATGATATGTTGTATATCAAATTAAAGCTCGTTTTACACCCTTAACTGTGGTATACATATATAGGCTGCGTTTCTTTATACATTCCGGANCCATTTTACACCCTTAACTGTGGTATACATATATAATGTTATTAAATTAATTTTTTAGAAAACACTCGCCTACGAAGAAAGGAAAATTCTACATACGTAGTAAGGGTTATACTCCTTAAGCGCGGCCGAAAAAATACTTCCGCCCTCTTTTCCGGCAACACAGAAAGGAGAATTATACTTATTAAAGGTTATAATCCCTAAGCGCGGCCGAAGGCTGCCTACGCATAAAGTTCTGCACCAAAATACTTCCGCCCCTCTTTTCTGGCAACACAGAAACGAGAATTTTAGGTATTTAGGTACGCAGAAACGAGTTCTGCCCAAAATTACTTCCGCCCCTCAGCACAAAAAGGAGAATTCTACGTAGTGTCCCTATCCCTAAGCGCGGACGAAGGTCGCCTACGCACAAAATACTTGCGATTGTTCACATATGACATGTACATCAAATTAAAGCTTGTTTTACACCCTTTTTAACTGTGATATATATAATAATGTTACTAAAGTAGTTTTTTAGAAAACACTTGATTTTTTAAGAAAAATTAGTTTTTTTATATATATATATTAAAAGAGGGAGATTTTTATTACCTTTCTAATGACATACAAACTTCGAAA